TTCAAAAATATATTCTATAATAAATATATATCCCATATTATTAATAAATTATTATTTTATTTAAAAAATACTAAATATAATTAAATTTTCCAGGCAAATTTGCCTGAAATACAGTTTAAGGAATAAAGTTTTTTGATCTGTAATCTTCTTTCAGTTAATAAGAAATATGACAAAGTTCTTTAGTTTTTGCATTTCAAGCTTCTTGAACGAATATAAAATCTAATATTTTTTTGAGTCTTATTCATTTTTTTGATGAGAGTTGATTAACATAGATTATTGTGGATTATTTAATCTACACATCTTCCACTATCTTTTTATGCGTTTATTTATAGATCTTTAGTAATAATTAGATGAGCAAAAAATTTCCGAAAAATGATGACGAATAAGTGCAAAAGAGCTAATCAGATTCAAGAATTGATATGTAGATCATTCTAGAATCTGATTTCCTTATTTGGTATATTCCCTGACAATAATATCCTGCTTATACTTTAATTCTTGAAAACTTCCCTCTAAAGTTACTTATTCGCTGCAATATTTGCACAATATATTATACCCATATTTATGCATTATTGATAACACAAAATTGTTTTCAAAAATGGAACAAAATCTTTAATCAAATTAATTAGCAAGCTACTTGGTTATATATTAATAATAACTAAAAAATTTTAGACTTTTTATACACTTTCAATCTTCTGCTCTCAAGTCTTTTAGAATTAAAATTTTATTAGATAAACTTCCTACTCTACATATTTTACACAATGTTATCCTTCATACCCATCTACATGCTACCAATACTATTATACCAGCTTCTACCTTTATTAAATAACTTGTCTATCTGACTAGCTATTATACAATCTTATAGATAATTCATTAGGGAGGTGTCATTAATCACCTGATTTTTTAGGGGGTGGAGGGTCAAACCCAAAGTCAGATTATATATATATATATATATATATATAATATAATATAAGTATTTATGTATTAAAATTGTTCAATTCACATGATAAAAAACTGAAGTTTAGTCTTAACATCACATTTGCATATATTCGTATACTATACACAAAATAAGGTAAATTTATATTACTTTATACGCAGCTGTGATCTACCAACCATTACATAGGTGTTTGCTAATTTAACATACTTTACTACATACATACACTATGCATTATTATTACATTTCATGAATATTTACTATAATTTCATTTAACCATATTAATTTAGGTAAGTGAAGGAAAATTTTATATTCAAAGTTCTTCAGGTTCATAAATATTCATTTACTATTTAATTTTATTTGGTAGCGTTGATTTAAGTAAGTGTAAGGAAAATTTATACTAAAAACTTACCTGTATCGAGCAACCCAATAACATCAACACTAGTCAAAGAGTCAAAAATCGACATATAGTTATTATTTTCAGTTTGATTAATTGATTGGTGAAGGTGCTGAATGTATATTGGCATTTTGATTGTTGAATGCTAGTAAAATACATTTAGCACCTTTGGCAATCAATTAGCCAAACCAAAAATAATAACTATATGTCGATTTTTGACTCTTCGACTAGATACAACTGTGCTGATGATACATCTGGCGATGGTGTTGTTAAAAATTGATCAAATAGTGATCTTGAAACAAAATTAAAAATTATTTGGCATAGCAAATTGTGGCATAGTTCAAGGGCAATATCGAAATGTGAAACCTAGAACATCAAAAACTTATAGAAATATAAACTGAATATCCGAATTTCTCAGTATTGGTATTTGGATTATGACATAGAAAACCTAAAAAGTACGGTCTTTGAAGGTAAGAAGGATTAGTGCTAGTGTAGATATATATTGTATGATTGAAACTTCGAAAGGCTTGATTAATGTTAGGCCATATATAATAAATTTATTTGTATTGAAATAAACTGCATTGAATTCATTTAATTTTGATATATATATATAGGCTAGGTGCTAAAAAAAGGGCTGAGAATGACAAAAAAAATGATCTTTGAAAAATCAATTTTTATATTAAAAATCTTATAATAAATCATAAGAAAATACAACTTTGAAGAGTTATATTGCAAAATTTTATTAATACAACTACTTTTGTATCTTAAGTGAAAAATGATTCTAATCTTATTCTAAATTAATTTATATAAAAAAATCTCTTAAAAAAATTGACATTTTTGGCCTTTTTTTCAGCACCTAGCTTATATGTTCTTTAACATGATGAATTCGAAAAGAAATCACGAAATAAGTATAGTATTTTATTTAATTATATAATAATTACAGTATTTAATATGGTTAACTCCTTGTAAATGAGTACACCATATATTTTTATATTTTTGTTCAATCCCTCCAAAAAAAAATCAGTTTAAACCTCTAAAACCAAATTCCCACATAATAAATCATTCTAAACCTCTAAAACCCAATTTCCCATATAATAAATCGTTCCAAATCCAAAACTCATACAATGATCTCAAGTATGCTTTATCTTTTGCAATTTTAACCCTATTTTACGTTTAATAAAATAATCTTCCTAAATGCATATTGTTGAAAGCCTGGTCTATTCCCAGAATGCATTTATGAAAATTGACTAGTCAGCTACAATACAAAATATTGTTAATAAAAGTGATCATTAAATAAGCATTTAGAAAATAAAATAATTTTATATGATTTAGCTTAATTCGAACTGCATTATAGTAAAATAAGAAAGCTTAGTGCTAGGCTTAAGTTGGAAGTTAGATTGTAATAGAAAAAATAATATAATACTGTAAATCATAAGATCTCAATGTCTCAGATTACTTTACCTTCGCATTAGTATGGTACCAAATAAAGCCGACGTTTTTAATAATATAGTCATATAAAGGAAATTAGACTAGACAAAAACTAAATACAAGCAAGCTTGCTAAAAGTTTACTAGAGTCAGGTCTTTTGAGTCAACTCAGAGTAAACACATTGTGTCTAACTTATAACTACTTATGAGCAAAATCCTAAGAACTACATAAATAATAATTTTAATATAAAACATGGGTATATGTTATTTGCTTCTAAGATAATTTTAATGCTTACAGGACTAGTTAAGAACTAGTCAATCTTACTAAACTCCTTGATTTCAGATTTCATACTGAACTTCTTAAGAATCAAGCTGTGACCTTTTTCATTTAACTTTTCTAATTATTATGCATAAGTTAAACTTTAAACCGATTTTGGATTGTCTAAGTTGGATCGGACGGGAGCTTTTAACATTTCTAAATGTAAGCTTATATAAGGAAATCAAACGTTTCTTAAAGTTGTTTTGATGAATATACAAACATAATAAATACTTGTTACCTGATTTTATTTTGTATATAGAACCGCTCATTCTTATATACCTAGTTAAAATAAATAAAAGATGTTTTTAAATGATTAAGGTCGAAATTATTAGTATGCTTGGGGTATTTTAGCCCAAATGCGGAGTAGGTTACTAATTTGCATAATAAACTTAAACAACTAATCTTGCAGGTAGTTTTCTTAGCTTGTTATAAGGAAAGATGACGTACGTACGTACGTACATACATACGTATAAGTAAAACTTGCTACCGTAATGTGATAATCTGACACTCCTCTCTTCTCCTCTCTAGCCAATTAAAATGTAATGTGGTAACCTGACACCCCTCTTCCTCTTTCCAGCCAATTAAAATGAAACGTGATAACCTGACACCACCTCTTTCCCTCTTCAGCCAATTAAAATGAAACATGATAACCTGACACTCCCCTCTTTCCCTTTTCAGCCAATTAAAATAAAATGTGATAACCTGACCTTCCTCTTTCCCTCTTTAGCTAATTAAAATAAAACGTGATAATCTAACACCCCCTTTTTTCCTTTTCAGCCAATTAAAATGAAATGTGGTAACCTGACACCCCCTCTTTTCCTCTCCAGCTAATTAAAATAAAATGTGATAACCTGACACCCTTTTCCTTTCTAGCCAATTAAAATGTAATATAGTAACCTGACACCTCCTCTTCCCCTTTCTAGCTAATTAAAATGTAACGTAGTAACCTGACACCCCTTCTCCTTTTATCTAGCCAATAAAAATATCCTGATATCTCTCCAATGAGAGTGGCGCAGCAAAATTTCTTTAAAGTTCATTAATGAGCACTAAAGCTGGCTTCTTATACAGATTCTGATTCGCAGTTTGGTAATATGCACCACAGTTGTGCCACAAACCTAACACACATTTCAGACGTGCGAAAATCTGATACTAGTGTTTCAAATTAGTCAAAATTTTCAAATCGATTAAATACTTTCGATTAAAGAGGTCAGAGATGCAAATCGGCTCGATCGGCTTGTATATTCAGTATAATAAAAACTGATTAATCAATAGAGCCGATTAGCTATTTTGCATTACTAAATCAGAGTCCTAAAATCTGTATTACCTGACTTTCACTATATCCTATAACGCGAAAAAATTTTTTTAATAAATCATACCAGCTTTATTATATAGTTTTTATGTAGCAACAAAAAAAAATACTGGATTCTTATAATCATTTATACTACTGATTACCTAACTTCTTTTTATATACTTATTCGACATCAGAAAAAGATTAAGATTCCACAACGACTCTTGGCCACATTTCGGAATCTGAAGGCAGTAAAGAAAAATCATTTAGAGTAGCCGAGTTGGTTTGGGATTGCTGGCCTCAACACCGATTTCTTAAATTGGGTTGAATAGTTTTTTTATGTCTTACAAGCATAGTAGTTGTAGGGAAGTATTTTCTACATTTTTTACAGCACCGTCTTGAATGATCCTCAGCTGAGAGAGAAAGAAATGTTCGTCATATGTGAGAATTTTTAGATTGCTGAAGTATTGAAGCATGAGCATAGAATTAAGATAGTGACTATCTTTTCCTTTAGTTACTGGAGGTAAGAAGCCGTTATTTTCACCTAAAATGCTGCAGCTTCTTCAGCTCATTTTGGAGTACAGCACGATAAATCATTATATTTTTTAATATCTAAGGAATATTAACAAATTTGACAATGGGTTTTCACCCATGACCAAGATACGGGCATATCATCCTCCGTTGCATTCTGCATCTCAGTTGTTTCTAATTCTGATAGAAATTTAATATTAACAAATGGATTTTTTTCTTCATCAATATACTCGACATAAACAGGTTTGCCGTGAATAGGGTCTTTTTTCCATAAATTAGCAAGAGCCTGACCAGCATAATGAAAGTTAAGAAGACCCAATTCATAATCACATACTTCTCCTTGTGAGTTTAGATATTCTCCAAAATGATTAATTTTTAGTATAACTCCAGCAAGCTTTCCTGAAAGCGTCACCATACTTCTCTTTACGGGATTATACGATGACTGACCAGGTGTGTATGTTCTAATTGTCATATAATCCAAATCTAAATAACGAAATAGCTTACAATACTGATTAATGTTTTTTAAATGATGGGGGTTTTCATCAGGACCTCCGTCTACAAGAATAACCCACAGAGGTTTGACCTCTTCACCACGCTTAAAGATTGTAGAAAAATCTTCATTATCTATAGAGATGATAAAAAAAAAAAAAAAAATCAGTTTTATTAATTTAAAAAAACAGGTGCCAAATAGCTACATCCGGATTTAAATATATTAAGATTATAATTATTACTTGGTTTTATTTAGTTATTTATAGTAGAATTTTAGGTTTATTATAGCTATTCTAGGACAATTGATAAAAATTATTTCGGCTAAATTCAATGATTTTTGAACTTGGTATTGTCGACATTAGATTTTTGATATTATAGTAATTCTGATAACACAGAATTTAAAAACTTATCAAATTCGACTGAATGCTCATTGGTCAATTTTTATCGTTGTCCCAGAATTTATGAGAACAGCTGTAATAAAAGAATTTTTAAAAATCTGCTATATAGTTTTTTTACTAATATACATAATGACAAATATACTATTCTTAATGGATCGGTAGTACTGAACTTGATGGGATTAATAAAAAATTTATTTGGGTACTGTTCTTGATATAGTTCTAAAAATGAACTCCAATCCTAATTGTTTTTCACTATAGTAGTATAGTATTTTAGATGTTCTTTTTTAGAACCTTATTAAGAATGGTATGTGGATTTTTTTTTTTTTGCTATCTATCAAAAACAGTACCAACGATCTATTAAAAATGGTATTTTTGCTACATAATGGATTTATAATGAATTTTTTAAAAATTTAATATTTGTTATATCTCTTATCCATTAATAATTATTTCTAATTACCTACTAAAGACAGGATATCCGCCATATGTGAAATAGATGTAGAACTAATATGCTATTGCGCCCGAATAAAAATAGATAATTGCAAAGCTTCATTTGATTCATTTGGGTTTATTGCTAAATATACTGACGGTGTTAATTTTTGGGATGAGCCGATAGAAAAGTCATGATCAGAAACGGATACAGGCTTACGAATAGTTTGCATAGTTCGAAAATGTTTTCCCACAGCTAGAATACTAACCAGGACTTTTGCTTTATCATCTTGTGAGAGTACTATGGAAAAATCTTCAAAAGTCGCAGCAAACTGTCTTGCATTTTTGACGGATGCAAAACAATAATGCTCATCCATATGGTTGCTTTTCTCATCTCTTGAAACACCTGCGATACCAACAAAAGCAGGATGGTGGTGGGCTCTTGCAGCTAAACTGCAGTTCGACCGAAGTAAGATGTAGTTTCTCGTAGTTGTTTGGGACATGTATATATTATAATTTTCTTCTAAAGCACTTCTAAGATATTTCACTGTTCTAACCTTAATGAGTTCACATCTTCTTCGTGCATCAGCTTCCCCAAATTCTATGCAGCTATGAATTTGTTCATGAAGATTTGGGTGCTGGAATAGAAGGGGTGGACGTCCAGGGGAATCATACCTTATAACAACATTATCATCTTCAAGTGCCCAAAGTTTTTTCATTTCAGATTTTTGTTTGTTATGTGCATACCTTTTGAGTTTTTTAAGTCGTTCTTCTTCTTCTTTCATTTCTTTTCGAACTACAGTTATCCGTAAACTAAGGTTATTATGAAGCTGAATATTAGTTGTTATTAAATTCATTGTATTTAATTCTTCTAATTCTTTTTGTAATCTTTTTATTGCATTAAAAGCTTGTTTTTATGCTATTGCATTATAACAAATTGGTTCAAACGTAGAAGAATTTTGTAACTGTTGTTTATGAGGTTGTTGAAATGATTGACCGGAAGGAGATGGTGAAGGCTGCATACTAGTTGTGGAAACTATCACACAACCACGCAATTGAGCTGGAGTGGTTAAGTATTCTCTAATTTTTTTTTTCAATTTCTTCGGTTTCTTCTTTTTTTACAGAATTTCACTCCGTGGCTGCCTTATTACAAAGTGTTTGCTTATCTATTGATGGCATTCCGCTTGATGCCATTTTGTAGTAGGCATATGCGTTGACATAACGTTGGTAAGAATTATTGAAATTTGAATATATAAATTTTTTGTCGAACCTTGGCGCAGACAAAAAAGTCTGCATCATGAATTGTACGGTTTATTGGAAATGAACTTTTATTAAATATTTATTATATATATAATTTTTTTTAGGAAAATTTACAAATAAGCCCGGAAAGTGAAAATAATTATATGTAAGGGCCTAATTTTTTAAAAAATATTACATATAAAGGCCGAATCTATTGATGGCTAAAAAAATATGATCGTGGGGATAACTGTGTCACATATATTACTATGACCATTTGAATTATAACGATAGCAAAACGCAATTATAGGATTATTGATTGTTTAATTATAGGCATTAGAGTTATCTATACACTGATTATTAGATTGAAGAATTAACGAAGCGCTGGTTATAAGCATTTTCGCTCAAATATTGTATAGCGTTAAACTAACACAATTATTTATAAGGCGAAGAAGTTTCAACAGAGTAGTTCTTTAGAGCTGAATGAGCATCTTCTATATTAGTAAATATCATGCCAATTTGCAGTGCTTTACTTGACATCATAGTAGATTGTTAATATTTTTTAAAAAAATTAGGCCTTATTTGTAATTTGGGCCCGTATTTGTAATTATTTTCACTTTCCAGGCCCTTATTTGTAAATTCCCCTTTTTTTTATCTTTAGTTCATAATAATGCAACAAATATTTATATTATCATTATAAAGCGATAAGGTTTATCAAGCGGTTCTTATTTTAAGAATTGACTTTTTTTTAATGGAAACAGGTTTAATCACGAACATTCGGTTCAAATTAGTTGAGCGAAAATATTTAAGGTGTGATTTTATGGATTATGCACAAAGACAAGAATAATAAGAATTGTTTGAAGAGATGCGTATATTTCTTAGCTTTAAAGTCAATTAAAAAAACAATGATTTGAGAAAATACTAACTAAAAATTGGGTCTAATACCAATTTCTACCAAAATACTCGTGAAGTATTATATCAGGGTACTTTGTACGGTCTTATTGATATAATACTAAAATTAATAAGTGGTAATATGAAAAATGCTGTGCAAAATATCTGAGTATTATTTACTTTTTTTATTTTTTATTGCTTTTATGAATCAAGGATTTCTTTCATCCTCGAATGCTTTGGTGCATTTGTTTAAAGATAGGGCAATATGCTTTCGTGTATGGAATCTATGTGTATTCACCTTTTCGAATATCAATTCAATATAGGCAAATGATTTTTTTAGAAATTACCTGCCTTGAATGATAATAATTCTGTTAGAATTTTGTGCTTGCATATAAAATGACTCCTACCTGTGCATTATCTCGGACACGTGCATTTTCGTTATTGAGAGAAAGATTATTTTTCCCAGATCTTTTTCTAAATAACGCCCACATAAGTGATATCAAGGAAAAACCTGTAATTACAACGCATTTGATAAGTTTTACAGGTTTTCTGCATTAGATAGTAATATCAGAACATAATAAATTATACCTTTACAACTTTAACATAGTATTATTGCTGTTAAGTACCATTCAAATTCATTTACAATTTTATATCGATATATTCCTAATATTATCGAAATTCTGCATAACCCGTATCATAATCTTTTCAAAATTTCCTATACATACAAATCTCGAATCATTCAATTATAATTTGTTATTAATATAGGTTGTACAGATCCATAGGTTATATGTACGTATATACGTATGTAAAACAGATCCATATGCATAGTACAAGCTGATTTACGTATAAGCTATATTACACGTACGTACTGATCCAGCATTATATACATATTAGGGAATAGTTGATTATTAACAGTATTAATAGTATGGTGTAGTTTTTAAAAAATTGGGCTGGATCTGTTCGCCTATACTATTTCGAGTTGACAAAAATCAACAGATCAAGAAGATATTAAGCAAGGATAATGTTTTACATGAAAATAACAAGAAAACAGGACCAATTCTGCATAATCAAAATTACGAAAGAAGTATTCGAAATAACCTTCCTCATACAGTAATTCTAACTTAATGAATACTGAGAAAAAGTTTGATTCAGGAAAAGTGTAGTTGTAATTCTATATCAGCCATCGTCAATTTAGTTTTAGCTAACCTCAATTTGTAATCAGCCTTCTCTTTCAAAGAAACATATCACATAGTTATACATATTAGCAGCTGGTTAGCACTAAACTGTATATTTATCAGATTTTCAGCATGGCTGGATTTAACTAATTTATATAAAAACAAGATAAAGCATCGCACTAATCCAGTGAGTCTTGTGTTATCTGTAGGATGTCGTCAATTATATATGTATGATGAATGCGTAACAATTTGCTGATAGAAAATATATCGATATACATATTTAATGAATTGCTTTTATCGTTTTAAAAGAGTAGATCGGTTATATATATATTGTTTTATTATTTTAAAGGCTAAGAAGTAGATTTACGTAGTAATTTGGAAGTTAGTTTTTATACACTTTTATTATTACGTAAAAGAAATGATCGGCATTATAATTTAGTGGTAAATGATTGGCTTAGCGAAACATAAAATTTGCAGGTCTTTAATAATTTTAACGATTATCAAATCATCCAGACAGTAAAAAATTCGAAAGTAAAAATTAAAAAATAACCAAACCTTGTCTCAGAATCTATACTAATTTAATTGACGATTCTTTAGTCAACTGAAGAATGATCATAGTAAAACATGACGCGGTTCTATATATAAATTACTATAGGTGCGAAAGTAGAAATT